ATATAATTTATAGTAGATGGCCATAAAAAGATTCAATCGTTCATTTATAGCTGTGCATGTCTGAAATAATTACCCCATCAATGTCATGACGGCCAATGACAATTTATTTTTAGTCCTCCAAATAAATGTCTGTTATGTGGACATTTTGAAAGCAATTAATAAGACGCAATTGGTGTTTTGTATTCTAGCTCCTTGCTACTTGGGGATGGGGGGTTCGTTTGCCCCAGAAAACACGTGTTATTGACTGAATTTCTATACAACAATAAACAAATGGACTATTTTCCCAACACGCAGGCTGTTTCTCATCCCAGTATATTGTTCTAGGACATGACCCGCACGTCTTCAAGAATTTCACCTTTATAGATGGAATGTGTTGGAAAAATTGTTGGAAAGTATTTTTTAAAAATTCAGGATGTATGCTAGAATAGTTGCCATCGATTGTAAAACCTAGACTAGTCTTGAAGAATAATTCTTAAAAATCGACTATTAAAGCTGTAGTACTTTTGAGGAATAATTCTCCAAAAGTTCTACAAAATTGGAGAAGAATATATTTTTGAAATAACCAGGATTATAGCTGGTACAGGTTTTAAAAAACTTAAGAGGATAAACAAATTAATGGCCTTGGTAAGTTATTCCTCAAAATTGTACAAAATTGTGTTGGGAATTTTGTTTTTAAACCACAATTATTCGTCGGATGGTCTTGGAATACAATTTTTAGGTTCAAACAGTCTTCAAAAATAATTCTTTAAAAAAATCCATTATAGCACGAATAAAAGAAAAGAAAATTTAAAAAAAAATAAAAAATGGTCAAGGACTAATCTTGGAAATAATTCTTTAAAAAAATCCACAACTATATCTTTACAAGCCTTTAAAAAATCGACGATTATGTCTCTAATAGTCTGGAAACAATTATTTAAAACATCCGCAATCAAAGCTGCAATAGTCTTGGAAAATAATTCTTTAAAAATAGTCCACGCTTATAGCTCAAAGAATCGTATAAAATGGTTCCATGAAAAAAATTCAAAATTATAACTCGATTTATAGGCAGAGGAGTCTTGGAATAATATTCGAAAATGATTTTTAAAATATTAACTATTTTAGCCCGAATAGTCTTGGAAACTGATTATTGGAATGTTCCAAAACTGAAAGAATAGAAAAGTATCTACTACGATAATCGATTTTCCCTTTATGATATTGAATCTAATAGATTCTTGCAGGTACTGGGACAAAGCATATTATTGCTCGGTTCATGGCTGATAGAGTCTTGAAAATGAATTTCAAAAAACCATAAATATAACTCAAATAGCCTAAGGAAATAATTATTTTATTTGTTATTATAGCTGGAAGAGTCTTGGAAAAAATCTAGAAATTAGGCTCGAATAATAACTGGAATAGTCTAGGAAAAGAATGTTCTAAAAATCCATGATTATAGCTGAAAGAGTTTTACAAAGGAATGCTTTAAACCTACGAGAATCTTGAAAGTAATTCTTAAACAAATTCACCATTAAGATTCGAATTGGCTTGGAAAAAAGCTTAGATAAAGCTCTTTAAAAATCTACGATTTTGGCATAGAAAAGAATCAGTAAAAAATTACAGCCGAAATAGTCTTGAAAACAATTCTTTTAATTATCCACGATAATAGCTGGAATCCTTTTTGAAAAGAATTCTTTATAGATCTTAAAATCTTCAAAATATTTCTTAAATAATTTTGAAAAAAAAGAACAAAAAAAAAATCGTATAATCTTGAATATAAATTCTCTAAATATTATAGCGCAGATATATTGAGATAATTGTTTAAATTCAATTGCTGAGGTGGACAATAATTTTTAAAAATTATCGATTGGAAAATTTTTGAAAAATCCTTGGGCTATGGTCGTGGAATATACTTCTTTAAAATATCCACAAATTCTCAACCAAATCTATGGGACATATGGTCAAGACCGACGAAATATGTAAAATAAGGGGGTATCTATATATAAAAGTTATACCACAAAGTGGACCTATATTGATACATTTTCGCAGAGTTTCTACATAATAAGAACTCAAAATACCAACATTTGTGGCAATAAAAAATAATTCAAATCGGGGTTTAGTTTTACATAGAAGTGGAACCGACCCATCATCCAACTTAATGCTTCTTAAAGTAATCCAAATATCTTGTGGTTGCAAAATGGTCAGGCTTTATCCCTTCATTGTTGTTTTTATAAAAACAACGTTTGTTTATTAGTGGAGAACGATGGTAATGTTTACCAGGGGGTAAGGCAGGGAATACCTAGGTTTCGGAAAGAGCCACCAATCCTCATCAGTTGCCTTGTTTTTTGTCTGGGATGTTCTCCCCAGAAGTTATTTTAAAAATAACTTCTATGACAAAAAACATTTTTTACCCAAGTGACGAGATCGTAAGCTCAATAGAAGAGGAACCAACGAATTAAATAAAACTAAAATTCTTTTGAAAAGTCTTCTAAACCTTACAACCGCACTTATAAACATTTACATCTTCCTCCACTTGTTATGCTTTCGTTCAACCTGAACGAAGTAGCATAACCATATAAGATGGTTTTGTCTGTTACAACAAAAACCCCTTCGTCGACCGTGTCTTGTCTATTGATAGAACAGTGTGGCTTGTTTGTTCGGGATACCGTAGTATTTTGTTGTTGCAAAATGGTCAGGCATTATCCCTTTATTGTTGTTTTTATAAAAACAATGTTTGTTTATTAGTGGAGAACGATGGTAATGTTGTAACAGACAAAACCAACTTACATGGTTATACTACTTCGTTCAGGTTGAACGAAAGCATAACAAGTGGAGGAAGATGTAAATGTTTATAAGTGCGGTTGTAAGAATTAGAAGACTTTACAAAAGAATTTTAGTTTTATTTAATTCTTTGGTTCCTCTTCTATTGAGCTTACGATCTCGTCAATTGGGTAAAAAATGTTTTTTTCATAGAAGTTATTTTTAAAATAACTTCTGGGGAGAATATCCCAGACAAAAAACAAGGGAACTGATGAGGATTGGTGGCTCTTTCCGAAACCTAGATATTCCCTGCCTTACCCCCTGGTAAACATTACCATCGTTCTCCACTAATAAATGTTTACAATTATATAACAAACTCTTAGTACTTTGATCAAGAAGCTTGCATCAAAACCCAATACCATAAGACATATAAATATGTCCGTATAATGGCTAAGAAATGATACACGTTCCACTTAAAAGGGATAAGGGACAAAGCCTGACCATTTTGCAACAACAAAATACTACGGTATCCCGAACAAACAAGCCACACTGTTCTAATCCAAATATCTATATGAAGTTTCAAAGTTCTATAGAATCCGCAATCTAATGATGGTTGTTTTTTTATACCCTCCACCATACATAGTATGGAGGGTATATTAAGTTCGTCATTCCGTTTATAACTTATTCTTGATCAGCGTAAAATTCTAAGACGATTTAGCCCTGTACGTCCGTCCGTCTGCTGTAATCACGCTGGAGCCAAAACAAGTATAGAAAGCTAAAATATTGCACATATCAGTCTTTTGTTTGCATGCAGGTTAAGTCGGTTCACGATATCTTATAGGTATCTCTGTAAGGTATTGTAGCTAAATTTTTCAATGAAATTGTCTGAGAATCCGCAAAAGGAATTCCTTCTGAATATTTTACTCCCTGGAGAGCATTGTCTATATAGGTCCTCGATATCGTATTTCCCCCGTATATTCGATATTTTGATGATTTTAGCTACATTTTTCAATGGAATTTAATCCATACGAAAATTTAGTTTTAAGCACTTCACCCCCTGTCTATATAGGTCCACGATGTCGTGTAGCCCAAATGCAACGGTACTCCTCAATATTATTATTTTGTGGATTTAAAGGACATTATTCACCGGGGTTGTTTCAAATTTTGTATTTACAATTCGTAATGCGTACTACAGAATATGACAAAAATTGCGTATGCCGGCTCACGACTTCGTATATCCTACATATAGCGGTACCTCCCAATATTCGGTATTTTAGAGACATTATTTACCGGAGTGGTTTCAAATTTTGGTTTTAGAGTTCGTAATGGGAAATACAGTCTATGACAGAAAATTGTCTATGCAGGTCCAGGTTTTCGTCTAGGCCCATATATCAGTACCTCCCTATTTTCGGTATTTTGACGATTTAAGGTACAATATTCACCGAAATTGTTTGAAAATTCGTATTTGAAATTCCTAATAGGTAATAAAGCCCGTCAAAGAAAATTGTCTATGCAGGTTCAGGTCTTTGTATAGTCCCGATATCTCCGTATATGCGGTATTTTGATGATTTTAGCTACATTATTCACCGAATTTTTTCGTATGTGAATATTTTAATGGCTCGTGATAAAAGTTGCCTATGCAGGTCCATCTCTTCGTATAGACCCCAAAATAACGGCTATAATCGTTATTTTTAAAGATTTTAACAACATTTTTAACGGACTTTTTTTGAAAATTTCCAAGTGATGTAGTTTATACAAAGTTCGGCTCGGCTGCTTTTTTATTTTATTTATTTATCTTTTTTAAATTAATTTTTTTAAATCCCTAATCTGAACGAATATGGTTGTGTATACGCCTGAACAATGCTCTAATAATCTTCGAAAACATTATTCACTATTTTCAAGCGTGCTCCTAATAACTCGATTATTTTTGGATTTTACAGATTCTATAACCACTTTCTTAGAAGCATATATTCGGCTTCATCAAAACGAAAACTCTTGGTCCATTTTATGACGTATATTATAGATATGAGATGGAATACATATTGCGATATTAAAATATCTATGATTCAGTATTACATTAAAACAGTCACTGGGAATTCCAAGAAACTAGTTAAACACTAGTAAGCCATACTTCGTATGAACTTCTTATAAAATTTATGCGCAAAAAAACCCAACCTGAGAAACAAGATGAAAGAAAAGCGTGACAGAAAACCCCCAAAACAGAAAGAATGGATAAAAAACACACGCACACATACAAAAATTCTTACCGTTTTCGTTATTTGGACGATTGGAACAGGCTTCATTTGTGGTAACATATTCTTTGCAGTTGACGGATCCCATGATGATGGTGATGGAACGGCGATTAGATCCAATGGAGTGGGGATATAAGAATGAAGGAGATGGTGACTGCTGCTGCTGTGGCAACTGTTGCTGGCGATGGGGCCAATGACGTAATGTTGGCCTTGTAGAAAAATGTACACCGGCAACGGTTTGAAGGAAAGGTCGTCGACTATGATACGATACCAGCGACCACAATACACTTGAGTTTGAAATGTGAAACCTGTTGAATTTTTGTTTGATTTTAGCTTTTCGTTATGATACAATTTTTATTTTGTAATAGTTTCACTTCTTTTTTTTTTTTTTTTTTTGTTCGATTTCAAAATAACTAACTATGCCGCAACTAACCTTCGAGTAGTAATTAAATTTCCACTGGTTGTTGCAACGTTGCTACGTTGTTGTTGTAGGTGTTGGTGTTGAGGTTTCAAAATGCCCTTCTCAGCAGCAGTGTTGAATGTTGTCAAATATTTGCGTGATACTAATAACTTTCGAACAGCACTACTCGTATGATTCGTTATGCGATTGATGGGAATGGTAGCAGAATTATTAATCAGGGAACAAATGATGGGAAAATTCCTTGAGATAAGAAAAAAAAAAAAAAAAATGAAACAAAAATTTACTAAACGGAAACAGCTGGGCGTTGATAAGATTCAACAAATAACAATAATCTGTTCGGTCTTAATTAGTTTTTTGTTTTGCGAAACACTTGAGTTTTAATTGATTTCGATGGTTTTATGATTTGTTTGATGGATGATTAGGCACTTCACGCTTTTGTCACGGAAGCTATTTTGATTTGTTTATTCTGTTTGAACTTTTGCCGAAGCATAAGGGTATTTTTATCGGGACACCAAAAAATTTGTTATGAAATAAAAATGCATGGGAGGACAGGCTCCTCTGTACTTCATTAAAAATGCGTGTTTGAAAATCTCTTTAATTTAGTTTTTCATTTAAAATTTCCCCAAAAAACATTTAATTCTATAATTTACTTTATAAAGCTCTTTTGTAAACTCTTCGCCTTGTTGTATGAAAATCACGTTGTTATAAGCAGACCGAATGTCTATACAATTCCGACCGACAACCACCGGTTGACTACCACGATTCGTGACTACTTTTTTACGACTAACATCGTCGTACACTTGTTCGCATATGCATGTGCTGGTCGAAATCAAACCACCAAACAAATCAGAGATACCCGACATTACTCACAACAATCGGTGGCAGACAGATTCGTTGGTAAGTAGATATGGAGTATATCTCTGTTAATACTGCAAGTAATTTGTATAAGAACACTCAGTTGTGAATTTTAAAAAATATAATGAACAGGAAAAATAAAAATGTTAAATTGTGAAATTTTGAGAATTAAACGCGGAATGTATGAAATAAATCCTTCGATCTAGGTAAGTATAGAACTGATCTTAATTTAGAAAAGAAAAACCCTTAAAAATTGAAAACACATGAGTCATGCCATGCACGGAATGTAAACCTGGGGAAACAATAACAACTAAAAAAAAAAACAAGAGAAAAAGCAGTAAGTTCAGCTCGGCCGAACTTTGAAAACCCTCCACCATTTGGAAATTAATAGAAAAAAATAAATAAAAAATAGAATTCGTTATACATTCTGTTAAAATCTAAAAAATATCGTATATAGGGAGTTACCGTTATTTTTGTGTTTATACGAAGACGTGGACCTGCAATTTTCTGTCGCAGGCTGTAGTACCCAATACGAAGTGCAAATACGAAATTTGACACAATTTCCGAGAATAGTGTAGCTAAAATAATCAAAATACCGAATATAGGGAGGTACCGATATTTAGGGGCTATACGAAGACCTGTTTAGACAATTTTCCGTCACAGGCTGTAGTTCTCATTAGGAACTTTAAATATGAAATTTGAAACAATTCCCGTAAATAAAGTCGCTAAAATCATCAAAATACCGAAGTTTGGGAGTTACCGATATTTAAGGGCTTTACGAAGACCTGGACCTGCATAGACAATTTTCTTTCACAGGCTGTCGAACCCGATACGAATTACAAATACGAAATATGAAACAATTCCGTTGAATAATGTCGCTGAAATCAGCAAAATACCGAATATATGGAGGTACCGTTATGTGGGGGCTATACGAAGACATGGACCCGCATAGCCAATTTTCTGTCAAAGGCTGTAGTATCCATTACGAACTTCAAATACCAAATTTGAAACAATTCCGTTATATAATGTCGATGAAAGCAGAAAAATATCGAATATAAGGAGGTACCGTTATATGAAGCCTATACGAAGGCGTGGGCCTGCACAGACAATTTTCTGTCTTAGGCTGCAGTACCCATTACCAACTTCAAATACCACAATTGAAACAATTCCGGTGAATAATGTCCCTAAAATCATCAAAATACCGAATATCGGGAGGTACCGTTATATGGGGGCTATACCCAAACGTGGACCTACATGGTCCATTTTCAATACCAAAAATCATTCAGACATAACATACATTTGAGTGAAATTGTATGAATCTACTTCAATTCGTTCGGAAGCTAGAGAAATTTTCACAGATGGACGGTCATCGTTAAATCGGCATAGAATTTTATGCTGACCAAGAATATATACATTGTGGGATCTAAAATGTATATTTCGAGGTGTTGCAAACGGAATGACAAACTTAATATACCCTCCATACTATGGTGGAGGGTATAACAAGTTAAAAAGTATCAGTCGGTTTTGCCGACAGATGTATACCCTCAGCCAATGTTCGATTATTTAAATATATTTTGAGTTCTGTTATGATTATTTAAATTGTTGACCTTCTATGGAGTAGGTTCCGAAGGAATATATCAATATTGTCCATTTCGTATCGGACCTAAATAAATATGATATAAATATTGCGACGTGCCAGATTTAGACTACATCGACTACTTCCTTCACTTTATTCGAGATATGGGATAATTTCTAGAAAATCTTAAAATGTGAGTGAGATGCCACACATAGTTGAGCGAAGTAATCAAAATAAATGTTTTGTTTTTAAAACAAAAACTTAATGGAGTGGACCGATATTGTCGATTTTCGCACTTGACGGAAATAGTAGTACTTCCCTTTAAAAACGTGTCTCATCGTAAAAATGGGTTTAGACCTCATGTCTCCATGAACGAAATCCAATTCTGGACAATTGGAGTCGATCTAGAGATAACTCTCGAATGGTGCATCCGATTTGGATTAAACTTGATACATGGTAATATTATTATCAAACTTAAATCGAGTTTGGAGATGTGCAATATCGGTTCACTCCTTCTGGTACCTTCCCCACAAAAGCTTAACATTTTCAAAAAAAAAAAAATAAATAATAATAATAATAATTTACCTCATAGAAAAAAGAGGTATCATTCATAGAAGAAGAAATGTATGATTGAACAGGCAACCTCTTAAAAATATAAGTGGTATGTTTTGGCGGAAAATCCATTTGTTACCAATATTAAAATACTGATCGATCGTTACCAAAAGGAGTTGGCTGGTAAGTCCCATATATTCATACTAGATCTATGTTTGGTAGAAATATTGAGATATACGAGCTTTAATCTTTGTTTCGTACAGACCCCCTATAACGGTACCTCTCGATATTGATAATTTTAGCGACATTTTAGACCGGAATTTCTTCAAACTTCGTATTAAAAGATCTTGATGGGTACTACAACCTATGACAAAAAATTACTTATGCAGGTCCATGACTTAAACCAGTCAAAAAAGCTTTCTATATATTCTCACCTTTAGACGCAAATAAAAACTCCTTCAAGGCTATTCTTCGCCCCTCTCTCAATCGCTGTTTCAATATCTCTACTAAAATGTTTAGCAACAATTTCCAGCATTAGGAGGAAATTTCGGAACAACATATGGTGGCATTTAGATTGGGCAATATAGTTCACTAAGGAGATCGGGCTGTCTCTACAGTATCCATGTAGTATACATTTTTCTGTAATCGATTTTACTTTGTATTTTTGTATATTTTATTGTTCCTTTCGGCGTTTACAAACCAAGGCCTTTCATTCCCAAAAAGTATTTTTTACTTCTCAGACTTTTACCCACATTTTCTGTCACAGTGTAATTAACCAAGTTAAAGTATTTTCATATTATTGCAATCCAATATAATTTCCAATAAAATAACCCTTCGTTTCTTCCAAATAATTCAATATTTGTGATGAGTAATAAGCTTTTGAACTTCTGGTCTTATGCAAATAACTTCACAGTGTATCACCGTACACACTTCGGATGTTGGCTTGACGCGAATGATTCGTCGTCACATTACGTAGTATAAAATTCTATTGAATTTGGGGAATTTCATTATGGACTCTCTCAGTTTGCGTCGTTGTTGTTGCTTTTATGGATATTGTTGATGTTTTTGTTTTTATTATGATTATTCACAGACATGCATACACAAATAAGTACATATCCAAAAACAAAGCTATTTTAAATATATTTTTTTATATTTTGTTTTGCTCGCCTGTTGCTTTTGCTGTTTCTCAGCAGATTTATGATGAATGCAGCAGTAGAAGAGCGACACTGTTTGCGATGTTGATGCCGAGCGTTAAACAAGAACGTATTACTAATAAACGCTAAACGAGTATTTTCAAACAAAAGATTCTCAAGGTATGTAGAAAACATCTGGACGGTTGGTCGGTCGATTGTTTGCAAACAATACACAGAAAATTTCAAAAGGATTTTGAGACTTCCATATGTGGTGGATTGCGTTAACATTGTTGTTGAATACTAATATTTATATTCGAGGTGATTGGATGGCAAACGTGCTTAATAACATTACAGCCCGGACTTTGAGGTGGTAAGTACAATTGGTGTGGGACATTGTAGAGCAGCCAATATCTAACAATGTGAGCTGTACAAGGTGAGATAAAAAAAACTGCAACCAATTCAAACGCCATAATTTCTACGTTTTTTTTAAATTTTATTGAATTAAAGCAAAAAATGTCGGAAATAGCATACAATTTTAGAATACGTTTAGATTTGTTCAAATTTGTCACTTTTGGCACGAATTATGGCCTTCCAACGGGCAATGAAGCCGTATGTTGCTCTGTGGTATTTTGGCCTATTCCCGGCGAAGCGCTTGCTACCAGTATCACGGTAACGAGCGATGGTACGAGACACAAAAGATTTATTCACATTTAAAATCTGGAGTGCTCTTGTGGTTTTCCAGCCAAATATAAAGAAATCACACTATAACTTTTTTTCTGGAAAATTCTCACCAAAATGCTTTTGTATCCTTGTAAACAATATAATGAGCTGTCACTGGAATAATTTTAAGTTGGTTGCAGTTTTTTCATCTCACCCTGTAGACATGAGATTTAACATAGCCTCACAAAAAATAAACTAAAGAAGTTAAATCGCACGTTAAACGCGGCCAAATGATCGGTCCCTATCTTTCGAAGGAATTGGGACCAAGTGCCGAAATTTGGTACGTATGCGTTTCGGGTCTAAACTTAGTTAGAAGATGGGCATATGACGACTTTCGGCTTATATTTCAACAGTATTATCTGGAAATTGGTATTTGAAGGTTGTATCGGGTTCTCAACCACCTT